AAACACAAAGTATGAACAAGATGTAGATTTATCATGCACGTGTGATAATATAATTTTACATGCTATGAAAGTCATATTGTTTACTCGTGCATCGCACGGGATACGCACGGGATACGCACTAGTTGTAAAAATAAAAATTATTAATTTTGATATCTAAGAAAACTAAATAACGACGATAAGTTGAAACTCATCTTAAAATGACATGCCTTGATTGCAATTGACTCTTATTCTGACTATTAGTAATATCATTTCATCGTGCCTCACGAAATAGGATTTTGCATATTCAAGCAAGAAACAAAAATTAAAAAAACGAATGAAAAAAATACGAACAAGTATGTAAAACAACATTCATTTATTAATAATAATTAATAATTATTATTTTTAAATGAGAAAAAACAATTAAATACATTTACTAGAAAATTAAGAAAAAAATAGCAATTAAAATTATTTTTTATATAACATATATATATATATATATAAATAATTAATAATGGGCCCTGGGGTAAGTGGGGGCCTGGGCGGTTGCCCGGCCCGCCCTACCCCAGGGCGGCTCTGTCAAAATTCATGTGGTGATCTGAAAACTGAAGTTGGGAAGTCTTGAAAACCAGCAGCCATAACACTGGTGAGGGTTAAAAGACAAACACAAATCACATATGCTTTTTTTTTTTTTTTTTTATATGTTTCATATTTAAGAATTTCATGGGCCATCAAACATATTTTTATTCATGGCATGGAGAACCATGTGGGTTGTTTATTTTTTTTATTTTTTTATTATTATTTTTTTTTTATGATAGTAATTTATTAAAACCTACAATATAAATTATGTAGTATGTAAAAATTATCACACTTCATGTTATATTTCTTCCATTAAAAATGGTGCTTATATATATATATAACTTCCATTTTTTTAAATGCCTTTGTAGGCATTTTCAACCAAAATAATTATTTTTTTTTGTTGGTATATTTGTCCTAGAAACAATATTTATAAGAACATATATATATGATCACACTAATAATTATATTAGATTATAATTATGGTATTGTAATTAATTAAGTAATTGTTTGATTATTTATAATTTATATATTGACATGTGGTTTGTATCATATTTTTGAAAAAATATAGTATGTCTTACTACTATGAATAATTGTTATTCGTGTTGGACACATAGATACATTGGAGAGTATTGATATACCCTATCGATAAACCATTTGTTTATGTGTTTATGGAGTATCAGTGTGTGGAATGGTGTAATAGTCCTTTGACTTGAGGTTAATACGGAATTCATATATAGAGTGATCTACTTAGACCTAGTCCAACGCTTACGCCCTTATGGGTAGACACGAGCTCGTGTTGGGTAGATCACGATATACATGGAATTGGTAGTTGAGTCAAGATAGGATTCATTCCCCAAATATAGTTTCGAGAGAACACTCGTTTTCTCTTTACTGGGTTGATAAAGTCATTGGCAATGCACGTGATTATATATGAAATGGTGTTTAAATATAATTAATTAAACACAACCAGTAAGATGAGATAAAATGATTAAGTTGTATGGAAAGACACCACGTTCAAGTCCTAAGCTTGATCGAGTGGGTCGTGAATGAAGGGACCGTATCATCATTAAGTTCTACCCTAAAGGTTTGTCTGCTTGTCCATGTAAACGTATTTCATATTTTGAGTTCGTCCTTCGACGCAGTCTGGGAGTTTCGTAAGGATCATAAATTAGATTTATGTCAATATATGAAGGTCTATAGGGTCAAACAATATGCAATCAGGTTTCCGACTAAGAGTGAATCGAGAGTGTTAAATATTAAATTAGATTGAAATATTTATTTATGAGTAATGAGATTATTTCTATTTGATGGAAAATATTTAATTAAGTTAGATTGAATTTATACTTAATTAGTAATGAGATAATTTTCTATTTGATGGAAAATATTTAACTAAGTTAATTAGATTGATACTTAATTAAATTATTAATTGGATTAATTAGGTCCAATTACCTATTGGGTTATATGATCTTCTAAGGCCTATATGATTGGGTTAGTTTGACTTAATTATAAATACCTCATTATCTCTACATAGTCTAAAATCGATGAATCGAAAGAGAAAAACATTTTGAGAGATCCAAAAAATCTTAGAGATTGAGAGATCAACGTCAAAAGACAAAACACTCTCTAGCTTTTTGGATCTAGGATTCCTAACTTCTTCATCGGAAGGGATTCACTGGCGTTAAACGGTGCATCGAAAAATTGGATTGCGCGTATACTATAGTCGATGACATAGACGAACAACTGTAAGTTTTCGTTAATCATTCACGCGATCTAGGATCATATATCGAATAGCTATAGCCGGATCTTCGTTGTTGGTAAGAAAAATTTAAGATTCCGCTGCGCGTACGCTGTGTTCGTTGTTAGAAATATAATTTTCTTTTGTCACGTTTCATCTATTTATTTATTTGTTTTGCACGTACTCTTTACTTATAATAAAATTGAATTGAAAAATTTCTTATTTACACGTAAAAAAAAAAATTCAAGTATAATTATTTCTAGTTACCTTTTTCAATATTATTTGTTGGCCCCTTCAACTAATTAAATATCTGGGTCCTCACTGTGGTATACTACTAATTTTCATATATGCACCAAGTAAACATGTTATAACTTGGCTGCAGAGTACATCTTATACATTGTACAATGATAATTTTTCTCAATCAAATCACAATTGCGTTTCATCTTTGTTGTCCTTGGAGTTACGACAATATTAGTTAACAGTTATATGTATTGCATCATAGAGAGTGATATGTATGTACCAAAAAATTGCACTTTAAGTGAAAGGAACTTGACCTGTGGCTGTGACTACAGTACTTTGTCTAATCTTTTAGCAGAGTTATTGTGCTTCATAAATTCATACAACACCACATATATAAATATAATGTCCATATATATGATTTATAGGCGTACGTGGAGATTAATCGGCCATGTTAATTAATATGCTCCCCGAGTACGAACAAGCGTCACAACAACTTGACACGATGATTTCGAGTACTCAATTGTACGCATACTATTATAAGCTTATTATTGAATCGAAATTTTAAATTTGAAAGTAGGTCTTTTATTAGGATGAACTATCTATTAACCCTCATACTCTTTTCATAATATATATAAATAACATCATAGGTATATTAATTAATGATAGACTAAGGATACAGTAACAGTTGGTAAAAATAACTTAACGAGTTTTGTTTTGTTTTGTTTGTTTAAACGTGACTACCGGATAATTAAAAGTAATGTTCTACATCCAACAACAGAGGTGTCGTGGTGTAGTTGGTTATCACGTCAGTCTAACACACTGAAGGTCTCCGGTTCGAGTCCGGGCGACGCCACATTTTTCACAGTTATTTCTAACCCTTTTCCAAATTTTACTTTACACCATTTTTTTTTTTTAATTTTCTTCAAATATTCCTGACTGTTTATCCAGAATACTTCAAATTTACCACTTCCTGTGCCTTTTCATGAATTGTAACTCCATTTAAAGAGAGGATTAAGTGTCCCTTGGGGGACATCCAATAAAATTGGAACGATACAAAGAAAATTAGCACCTTCGGAGACATCCGACAAAATTGAAACGCTACAAAGAAAATTAGCATGGCCCCTGCACAAGAATGACATGCATAAATCGAGAGGATTAAGTAAATGTATTACTACTATCTTATTTTTTCACCATAATTTCATTAATATTCCTTTATAAAGCAGAGATGAGTCCAGAATTTCTATCATGCCTAGAAATATTATGATCATATATATGAATCTCATCCATGTGCCCCTCCTCAGAAATCCCACCACCCTTAATTATTATTATTATTCCATTTTATAAAGTCAAAACTTAAACAAAAAAAAAAAAAAAAGACATGAATATAAAATTGCATGTGGAAATATTGTGCAGTCAGTCAGTCAGTCTGAGTTTCAGGTTATCCACACAGATGACACAGATATGAAATATTCACATAGGCAGAGTATTCCCGAGGGTTACATGATGATCCAACGGTTACGAATTCTGAGGAATGGTTCCGTAACGGACCGTAGCATTTCCCTATTTTTATTAGCAAAACTAAATACTTTTACATAAAATGAAATGTTATCTTGATGAAGAAGAGAAAGCTGTAATCAGTTAATTAGGAGTGTTTAATTTGGTGATAACAAAAGAATGAATACTATAAATAAACAGTCCCAATTTTGTGATAAAATGCTGGACCATTTTTTCACTAGTGTATTATTGAATGGAGAATGAAATAATACATGAAAAAAAAAAGAAAAAAAATAATGAGCCAATTAAAACATCAACAAGTTACATATCTCTCCCTATATATTAATTCAAAATGTGTTAGAGCCTAACAGGCAGACTCACGCGCTTCGAATGCTGACACGACGAATATCTATGCTTCAGAATGTTGTTTGTATATTCAGTCTTTTGGTTTGGAATTAGGCTTGGTATAGCGGTATAGATATAAATAACTTTTTTCAAACTTGATAAGTGTATAATTATTTAATTATTTTCTTTTCTCTTAGTACAAATTTCTTTCTTAATTATTTTTATTAATTGCAAATTAGAAAAACCTGTATGGCAGATAATCTCAACTGAACTAAACAAGAAAATGGTGAAAGAGGACTTTTTTTCTTTTCATTAAAATTGATCAGTTACAATTGTACAACTTTATAACAAGTCAGAATTTGAAAAATACAAAGCAAAAA